ATTTTGGTTGAAATCGGATGAAAAATAACAAAATTGGTTTCTGAGTGGGGGGGGGGGGCCTTAAATGAAAGATAAATCAAAAAGAAGCTATCCTGTCCAGTACAAGTAACTGAAGGATTCTTCAAAGTATACTTTCATAGACGTCTGTATAGCTGTCCATGAAGAGATATAGAACGAAAGATTTTACTTTATATAGAATTGCTGAAGTCTTAGCTTCAAAAATATCTATTGATGTGTCTTTAAATTTTGTATAGTTGCCGATAAAACCAGACTTCTCTTGGTATTGGTAGCAAAAAGATATAAAACTGTAAAAAATGGGGTCTACGTTCGATGGCCTTCACCATCATAATCAATTTCAATAGCGAAATGAATAGCATATTCGGAATCAGCGCAAAAACCTACGTCAGAAAACATAGTTTTTAGAAACATTTTTTTCCATAAAAAATCGACCTTGAGGGGGACCACAGGGTCGATTTTTCATGGAAAAAAAGTTTTTCTAAAAACTATGTTTTCTGACGTAGTTTTTTGCGCCGATTTCGAATATGCTATTCATTTTGCTATTAGAATTGATAATGCTGGTGAAAACCGTCGAACATAAACTTCATTTTTTACAATTCTGTATGCTTTTGCTACCACCAACAAAAGAAATCCGATTTTCTTGACAACTATACAAAATTTAAAGAGACATCGATAGATATTTTTGAAGCTAAGACTTCAGCAATTCTATATAAAGAAAAATCTTTCGTTCCATCTCTCTTCGTGAACAGATTTAGAGGCGTCTATGAAAGTATACTTTGTGATATCCTTATGTTATTTGTATTGCACAGCAAAGTTTTTATTTGATGCACCTTTTATTTAGTGAAACTAGGTTTCTATACTCAAGTTTTATGCTGATTACGAATCTGAAACCATATTTTTGATTTGAAAGAGCATAAAATACGTTTTATTCTGATTAGGGGCCCAAATGGACCGAAATCTGCACTACCACTCACTGCTTGTGGTTCAGACTAACTTTCGCTACCAAGGTTCCAATGTTTTGAGTGATATCTTAAACGATGCAGAATTTCAAGGGCTTTCAGAAAAAATAAAAATTATTTTGGGATAGCATAGTTCAGCGTGGCTAGTGTCAATATTATGAAAAATCTTCATTTATAGGCCATCGTCATTTTACTCGTATATGGAGACTATCACTTGATAAATAGTATTGTAAAATATACTGGATTAGTGAATTTTGTAGAGAAAACATTTCTGCATCTTTTGAGATGTTCCCGAATTCTCAGAAATGCTTGGATGCTGAGAAAAATGCAAAATACTGAAAGCACTGAAAAATAGCGATTTGTTTTTGACCAAGTCCCGAGGGGTGTACCACTTGCATGCTCTGGCGTGTTTCACAGGAAACTCAGAATGATCTCATATTTTGGATTTAGGAACTCCTAATGATGTTCTATCGTTTTAGATAGTTAAATCGAAAATCAAAATTTTATCGGATGCCGGTCTCATACAAAGTTGGTGGGCCCTCTCATGGACCCTCTCTTAAATATCTTCTAAAATGTTCGTGCAAAACTTCTATAATAATGATCCGCTAAAATAGCATAGAGATTTAATAGAAGTAGGAGATTATGATGACGTATAATTCATATGGAAAATAAGAATGTTCAAAAAATAATGGACATCTTTAATAAAGAATCTCCAACAAATATTCATCTTTTTTTTCCTGAACTTTCTTTTTTCTTTTTGTTTTATTTTAGGTTCTCATACGCTTTCACGTTCTCAAAATGAGTCAACATCAAGCACATTCATCACCTCTATTAGTAACAACAAGTTCAACATTAAATCGTTTATCATCTGATAAAATCATAAAATATAATTCATCTAATGCATCTCTAATTCATGATTTTCGTTCGATTGAATGATGTTTTGGATATAATCCAGTGTCTATTTCAGCATCTGAAATAGGTTTGGCATGTGCAGTTATTCGTTTGACTCTTGAACGTCGTCTTTGATCTCGTCATTTATCTGAATTATTTTCTCATAGTGATTCATTACAAGTCTTATATAAACGACAAGCTTTTCTAAATTCAGGTGATGGAGATCTACGAAAACAATTTTTAGCTCATGTTGAATCTCTTCAATTACTTTATTATAAATGTTTTTCAAATTCTTATGCAGATATTGATATTACTTATCATGTTATTATTTTTCATCTCATAGCTCGAGTCACAGGAATCTCTAGTATAACAACTGCTAATTCATATATTGTTTTGACTAGTGTTTTGGGATCAACAAAAGCTATAGCTTAACCATCAAAAACTGCACTTGAAATTAAATTTAAAATAAAATTTTTCATTTATATGAACTATAAAGAGATGAATTTTTTTTGTAGCATAAAAATTTCCGTCAATTAACAACACTTCGAATAGATCACGCGAATAACGGTTTAATACGTCGATGGAATATTGATCATGTTCTTATTCGAAATCACTTAACGAATAATGTCAATCGGTTTGTTGTTATTTTGATCTCTTTTTATATTTTATTTTTATTCTTTGAAAATAAAAAGTTTTCTTGCAGAAGATGGGTGTGGGTGTTCATCTTGCACTGACACCCACACTCTAACCATTAAGAACATCTTTGAGCCTAATGAATTTCATATGGATCTACATCTCCGAGATTGCTCTTTCGAATGATGACAACCCGACTTCCATAGCTTGAAACGATCAAAAGTTATTCGAAAAACAGCGGAAGATATTTTAATAAACATTGACATTAGCATGATTAAAATTAGGAATCAATCAGGACAGTGTTAGAATCAGTAGGATTTTTCTCAGCCGCTTCCAGTCTACATGATTACACTGGAGTGTATCAGTATACGTCATTCTTTATTATTTTTATCCTATAAAAGTTGTATCTATCGCTTGATCACTAAAATTCCGAATCCCTGATTTTCCGGCCAGAAAACTTCGGATAATAGTAGAAACTTGGAAGCAGGAATCTGATGATCGTCTTGGCCTGGTTATTGTCGGTTCCGATCAGAATTGAAATAATCTGATCACCGGATTCCTAATTCCAAGTTTCGATAAACAAAAACAAAGGATAAAGTCTAGAGAAATTATTTTTAGATGATCTTATATATTTCAGTGTTAAAATTCAATATAAATCTCATTTAATTGAATTTCAACACTATATTGAAGAAGTTCAAAGATCTTTTATTGATCAAGTAAATACACTGAATCATCATTTTTTTTTCTAAAGGAATTGTTCGTCTTTTTTAAATCGCTTGTTTTAAATTTACAACAGCCTGTAAATTAGCAAAAACCTTCGTGGTTGGTCAGCTTTTGGTAGTACAATGACACCAACCCTTGCACGACTTAGTGAAGTTCAATTTAGTGCTCAACTTGATCATTTCAAAAATTTCAACGTAAAATTGGAAATTTTATTTTATTTCTATAAAACAAATTCTTGTAGATCGATTGGAATACGTCTATTTGTGATGATTTACAATTATTAGTTACTGTACGAAAATGTCGAAAACATAGTGATGACACACTTATAGATGACGATTTAAATGAACGAATTCAAGGATCAAATGGAATTAAACATGATCCGATTAATTTCGATAATTATTTTGAAATATCAACTTTATAAAAATTTGAAATATTTATTGTGAGTTTATTACATGAAAAAAAACAGCAATGAGAATGGTTTTTTTTGTTAATTTTTTTTGTCATTTGTATAGATTTCAATAAAACAGAAACTAAACAAAATAATTTTTTATAATGTTTATTTAAATTTTTAAGTACTGTAAAAGCTCATATACTGGACATTTGGTGATCTGATGGATTGACTTTTGCTCAAAATGAATCTACCTATAATGGGTAGTAGAGTCCGCCACGTTCAAAAGTTTTAAATTCAAATCTGTTGATTAAACTTTTCTGGATCCAATTGATTAAAGTTGTCGAATCAGAGCTAAGCTGGTAAAACTTTTTCATATCGAGAACCAACCGAGCAGACTCTATTTGATGCCAAAATATTCTTCTATGGTGGATACTTTTCAAAAGTCCGACATCCACTATAGAGAAGTTATACTGTAGTATAATAAATTATTTATACAAAATTTCAAAAAGACATAAATTGAAACATCGTCAGAGATTTTGCATTTGAAAACAAACTTTTCTTCTCAGATCAATAAGTTTTAAGTCTCCGAAATGGGTGTGAAAATTTCCAGAAATCAATAAAACTTGGATCCAATATTAAAGCGATCAGATCGGAATAATCTGTCAGCTTTCTATATTTTCCTGTCTAAGTAGAATCATATGCTTTCACTTGATGCTATCACAACACAGCAGATCTAACCGATCTGCTCTTTTTTTCCTCTCAATATAAAATTTGAGTTCGAAAACATTCATCTGCTATCCTTAAATCTTGTCAAATATTTCTGTCAGTATCAATTGGTGACAAATAACCCGATATGATTCAAGAATTATTTCATTCGATTTATTATTCATTAATTCATAGCAAACAAATCTTGTTAAACCTGCTACGTAATATTTTGTCTGAATATTTTAATTATTTTAACAAGATGTTTTAAACAATACTTGTATAACAATTCTAATAGGAACAATTATGATGTTGCTTTTCTAGAGAACAATCGTTTCTTATAGGAAATCTATTAAAAGTTGTTTAATAAAAAATAAAACAAATGAGTATTTTTGTTTTGTTCTAAATCAATACTTGAACTACAGCATATCTTTTACCCATGAACTACTGCCATCTTCTAGTAAATCTTGTATATCATATATATTTCTTTTTTCGTTTATCACATTAAGTTTCGACGACATGGTAAAATTTTTCATGCAATAATCGTTTATCATAGAGAAAGAGAACAATCATATAATTCGTTCTCGAACATTTCCCCAAATACATAAAATCATTTTTTATTAATTTTTCATATTCAGATCAATCATGATGAATACAACAGGTATATATGACGGAGAACAAATTCAATTAAATATACCTGATAATCCATTATTAAATATAATATGTAAATGTTTACACGAACAAATATCAAGAACATTTGATTTTCGTATAGATATTATTCAATTATTTGATTCAGTGATAGGAGAAATTTTTGATTTCAAGGATGATGGTCTCAAATCATGACATTGTCTTCCATATAAAGAAAAAAAATCATATGCGTTTACAAATAATTCGTACCAAAATTGATTATGATGATACAAATGAACATGAAATAAATACAAACAATAATAATAATAATATGCCAGAAGTTTTAAAAAACAATTCAATGTGATATTGATAATCTATTTAATGCTATTGCAAGTAAAATTGAAAATTTTTAATAATTGAAAACAAAAAAAAAACTATTTATTTTTTATTCAGACTTTCAAATAACTGCTAATGGTATTCGTCAAGATTTTAAATCAGCTCTTCAATGATACTACCAAATTCATTTAAATCACAAGATTTCTCTGTTTGATATCACAGGACACAATTTGACTATACTAAAAAAAATCCATGGTCATGACGAGTGAGTCCTCGTCCTCAACCGATCTTCGTCCGAAGTCTTGTCCATCTTCACCTTCAGCCAAGCACCTGTCTTTGTCTCAATTTCTTTCATTTGACTATGAAATGAGTACCGTGACTGACAGAAAAATTCCGAAAGAATGAGTCCTAGAAGTTGTTGTTGGGTTCTCTAAGACAACTGCATCACAAGGGTCTGTTGAATTGTTATAATAAGTTCTTAAAAAAGTGAAAGAAAGGATGTATCAAATATTGCTGCTGCCCATTATATTGGAAGTAATAAAAATATTCATAATATATCATTTTTTTATTTGTCTTTGCACAAAAATCCTGGAAAGTTGAATTTTTTTTAAAGGAGTAAAATGTTCTCTTGACTTATCTTAACCGATTTTGAGAGGGCTAAAACCAACGACGTGCAAAATACTATAATTTTTCACTCTTCTGAATCGAATTTGCTCCTCTATTTTAACGACGAATCACCTAATTGTGCACTTAATTCTTTACGGGGATGTTCGAACAGGAAACAATTTAATCTAGTAAGTCCCAAAAGCTAAATCGCGGAAGATCACAAATTCAATGGCGCATCTTTTGAGAGAATTTCAAGATTATATCATTTGCCTGTACAAAGATATATGCAAAATAAACTCTGTCGAAAACATACCGGGACAACAGGTATCTCCTTAATAAGAGTTAGAATGCTATAAAATCCACCACCACCACCCCCCCCACCCCGCTCTTTATATCGTCCTCTCATCACTCCCTGGGAAGTGTTGAGCCTCCCCTAGATTAGAAGCGTTCCGTCGCCTATGGTATCACGTACCAAAACATTTTGATCACGTAATAATTTAATTAAAAATGGTATCGCTTGTTTAGTAATTGGTTTAATACTTGCAATATCATGTCCTTCTAACATTGAACTAAATGCCATAACAGCTGCTTGACAACATCATCAATTGTCATGTTTGATATTTTTACCAATAAATAGAACTACATATTGAATAATTGTATTTTCTGCACAACTAACTAATAACATAAGACAAACACCAGTAGCTTTACATGGATTTCAATCATAATCATCATCATTACTATCTTCTTGCGTTGTTAAACGTTGAAGTAAGACTGGTACTAAATATGGTAATGTACCACGGACATAATAACGACTTTGTTTGTTCAGGTTGACGATCTTGTTCTTGTGCCTGAATATTCAGAAAAGATTTAAGATGAAATGTAGTTTTGATTATCTTACTTCTTGTTGAAGTAATTGTAATTCATATTCTTCATTACAAACATTTGACCAAAATTCAATGCTTTGAAAAGCTATTTCATCATGACAAGATTTCATTGTATCCATAGTGATCTAAAATGAAATTTTTTATAAAGAATTAAAATTAAAATGAAACTTACAACAAATAAAGCAGGATCCATATAAAATTCTATATAATCATAATATAATGTGAGGATTTTAACGAGGTCCCGCAAAGATGCTACTGGAATCTAAGAAAAATATTAATTTTAATGAAAATTTTTCAAATAAAATAATTTATCTTTACTTTTAAATTTGTTGATATGTTACTTCACATACAACTTGCATGATATAAAGTTGTTCTTTCTATTCAAATAAAAAAAAAACTTATTTTTTATTCTTAATAAAAATATTTAATTTTACATCATTTTGAAAATTATTCTTTGTAAATTCCAATGAAATAACCATAGCTGTTGTAGCAGTAAATCAAACATTATCATTTATTTCTTCTTATGTATACTATATAACAGTGCAGTCAAAATAATATTACACTGATGTATAAGTATATTTCACTCCTAAAGTCACGAAAAAAAAGAAATTTTTATCTTTTTATATAAGAAAGAAATTTATAATATCTTGACATATATGTAACCAAGTGTTTCCAAACTCTGACAAAAGAATTATCGGATTGAAGTTCATAGCCTCTCACTTCATCTTATTATTGTTAATTCGTTAATAAGATCTTATCTTAAACAACGTTCAGATCTTAAGAATGTTATTCGTCACAGGAACAATTCGTGAATCAAGAAAAGACAGATGAATAAAATGTGACATTAAACAATGATTCAGTCAATACCTCGGTTTATTCTCAATCAGATAACTTAATGATCATACTCATGCTTTCATGTAAAGTACACAAATGTATATATATATCAGCATCATCCATCATTTCTTATCCATGTCTTTAATGAAGCTATTTACTATGAATATGGCATTCTTTTTCTTCTTCTTTATTTATAACCATATTTTTTGTCTTTAGATCGCTTCATTGTCATGCCATTTTTTTTTCTCCAAACTGTTCCATCAATTCATTCAATTGTTATCATTTAAGAAAATCTAAACTTAAAATAGTAATATTTTTTTTTCTTTTATTCTTTACTGTGGACCAATCCTCTGGTTAGTCTGAGATCGTAATTAAATGCATGTTATTAAGTCTCATTGTGGTATGCATAGTGTTCATAGTTGATATCATCATTTTATGCACACTGATACCTGATCTTGGTACTCGTTTTGAAAATNGATAGATGGAAAATTTCTTATAAAAATAAACCACTTCATTCAAAAAGCATTCACTTATTAATTATCATGTTTTCTAAGATCAAACAAGCTTGAATTTTTTCCAGTGCATTAAAAAAAACAATAAAATGTTCACCTTTCTACTAAAATAAGACCGTCGAAAACAAGACAATTTCATTGATTTCTTGTGAATTTTCATGCACGAAATGTATCAGTGATGGGATCGGTTCGTGTTTTTTTGAAACCGAACCGAATCGAACCGAAAATATGTCAAACCGAACCGAGCCAAACCGATCGAATTTTTAAAAACTTCGAACCGAACCGAGCCAAACCGAAAAAGTTTTAAACCGAACCGAACCGATTCAAAAATGAAAGAAATAAAGAAGTTTAAAAAGCTTCTATTTTTTTCTCAGACTATTCCTATGAAAACTTTTATTGAAGGCCTGCTTAAAACGTCATTAATAATTCCAAAAGTGAACTAGAAATTCGACGCACAAATGTTAAGAATATGGTATTGTCGCTTTCAGAATAAAAGAAATTATCAATTATAGATGACTAATTTCTTTTCAGTGATTAGTTATTTTTTCTGATAATCAGGAGCCATTCAAGGTACTTTTTGTTATCGTTCAGTATAAATGTATAGGAATTATATTTTACATCCTACACTCTTTGTAATAGCAAAACATTAGGTAATAGTTGACAATCGTACTTTGTTACATTTTAAAACCCATTTTTACACTCAACTTACAAGACTTATATGACAAAGAGAATCTAAAATTCATAGAATAATCAACCTATGATGTCAAAATCGACAATGTCAATGAAAATTTTCCAGCTTTCCTTATCGACCTATCTTGAAATTTCATTTAGATGACACTTTCTCAACTCAAATATTCATTGTGATATTTTTCTTTTGAATGCTAAAATGAAAGTAACGTTTTCATCGTCAGGTAAGAGTTATTATAACATGATAATCAATTGACATTTAGATATATCAGCGCTTCATACTGGAAAGCAGTGTGTAAGAAAATACACTGAATGAAACCTATGAATAATTGAGTAAAAACAAAAAATTAGTTACAATTGCTTTATCCACTCTTAGCGTATATGACTGTTACAGGTTTCTCTTTCTGTAACGAAGCTTGATATATGTAATATCATCGGCTACATTCAGCCAAAACCCAATCTATTCGAAATCTTATCTTCTGTTTTCCTTTTCCGTTCATACATAGATATATTTTCATACATAAGAAAAAGAGAAATATAGAAGCAAAATACATAGAGAAAAATGAATAGTTCTCCTCTACTGCAAGCCAGACTATTTAACATAAGGAAGGTAACGTCCAACATGTTCTTTTGTTGGAATGTTCTTTTATTTAGAACAGAAGAAAAAAGTGATAATTTATTGAAATTGTGACCGTCGGATAGGAAAATAAAAGAGAACAGAGGAAGAGAGAGAAAATAAGAAAAGAAAAGAAAAGAATAAGTAACGATGTATCATAGAGCATTTTAAGAAAGCTAAACATATACATAAATATATAATTGAATGGAAATCGGTTCCGAATGTTTCAAACCGAACCGAATCGAACCGAAAAACTTTCAAGTCGAACTGAACAAAACCGACCGAATTTTTCAAAATTTCGAACCGAACCGGTTTCGGTTCGCTTTGGTTCGGTTCGACTCAGCTTCGAACTGAACCGATCCCATCACTGAAATGTATTTCAAAGCTTCCTGAAGACTTCAAGAGACTTCATCAGACTTCAAGAGACTTTATGAGGATTCATAAGACTTCAAGAGACTTCAGAAGACTTCGAAAGACTTTCAAGACTTCATGAGACTTCAGTCGTGAAGTCTCCGCTGTTTCCCCCTTGATTTTATCTGGTAACGATCAGCATTCAATTCTCTATTACGCAGTATCGAAATATCCTTAGAAAGTAAAAAAAAATTTTGTTTGAAAAGTTCCCCTAGGGGATACAGGGCTATGAGAATAAGATGTTTCACGAAGAGGCCTGGAGGGGGGTAGGGA